CTGGGGAATTCTGGGAGTTGGCATCCACACATCTTCAAATTGACAAGGCTGAGGAACACTGGTCTAATCTAAAGTGAGAAGACCCCAGAACAGAGTCCAGATGTCAGCTAAGGCACATTCAGCCAAGTCTATTAGAACACTGATTGAATTCCAGTTGACAGGTGAGTAATTACATAACATGAGATGCTCTAAGACAAAGATGTCTTGTTTCAGTTTTTTTAGTGAAGGATATAGTCACGGGCTTCTGCAAAAAGCCACTGCAGCTTTAAAAAAAAATGGTCACCATAAATGTAGATTTAAAACACTTTCCAAGAAGAATCCTCACAAGTTGTATGTTTTGTTTAATTTTGTTGTATTCCCAGTTGTCCTATCCACTGTATAGAGCAGTTTAATAAGAGAAGGTCTTGCTGCTGTTGCTGTTGCTGTTTTGAAAGTGAAGCGTGTTAAGCATTTAAAAAGGCTTAGGCGCTTTACAAATTTTGGTGAAAAAATAATAGGAAGTTACCCCTCCATTTATTGGTAGTTTCTATTCCAATCTGAGAAAAACATTTTGGAAAGATTGATTTATTTCCCACCCCCACCCCAAAATAATGGGTCCAAGAATTATATGCATTCTGAACTTTATGGATAGCTTAATGATGTTCTGGGCTTTAAAGGTTAAATCTAGTACTTCCAACTGACCTTGGCTAGCAGCCAGGGAAGATGAAGCAACATTCCCCATAATAGTGAAATTATGTAGCTCGTGCAGCCTCAATTTACAACTTGCTGAGTGCCATTTTTTAAATGGAAGTTTCTGGCTGACCAAGGCAACTCCACATCAAGTGTATTACAGTTGACTAATATGGATGTTACTAGAGTCTGAATGTCTAGGTCTGGTCTTACATCTTCTTTTTCTCTCCTTTTCTGTCCTTTCTTACATCTCCTTTTGCTTGTTGTGCATCACCAAGACTGGGAAGGCACACAAAACCTGTAAAATAAATAAAATATTCCTTAAGGCTGTGAACCATTGATTTGTTAATAACTTTTTATTCCAGAGTTCTTACAAATAGCTAATATCCATGTGGAACAGGATCCACATGGAAGATGCCGAGCCTTTTCTCCCCATGTATGTATTGAGAGGAGCTGTAATAGACTGGAAAAGTGCAGTGTTTTTCTCTGTGTGATGTTTTGGGGAGTTAGCAAGGTTCTGGAAGATATAGGTTCTTCCTGCGCAATAGATTCACAACTGTTCTAGACAAAACAGGTAACGTCATTATATTCTCTGTGTACTTGCTGGTTGCTAACTCAGAGGCAAGGAGGGCTGGAGGGCATGTATGTGGCTTGCTGGCTTGCTGATAGTGCTAGAGTGTGGAGTGTGTTAGATAGCGTGTTTAAGCTAAAGTGTATCAATTTGTCTAAAGAAGACTTGTCCAAGAAGAGAACCACATTGGACTGCAAGGAGGAGAGCTGAATTATTGTAGGACTGAGAGAAATAAGCAGAGTCAGCCGAGAGCTATGTGCAAGGAAAGGAGAATCAGTCTACAGTCTGAGATAATTGGTGAAGTATACTTCCAAGTGACTCACCCATGTATAATGTCTAGGAGAAATAGATCTCCTATAGCATGAATCGATAGGCTATGTAAAGGGTACTGTGAAAGTGAGAGAAAAGATTAAAAAAAAAACTTTCCAGAATTAAAGGAGCAGAGTCAGAAGTAAAAGCAGAGATTGTATTTTATTCGAGCTCAGTCCATCAGGCTAAGAGAAACGCTGAAAACACTGTAAATGAGGGAATAGGCTTATAGGAACATATCTGGTGTGTAGGTTAAATTAGGTATAAAAATAGGATTTTTAGGTTGTTAAAATTTAAGCACGGCCTTTGCATCTGTGGAGCAATCTTTCAAGGAGGAACCTGTGACAAATCACATTAGTGATACTTTTTAATTGTTTATAGAAAAACAATTTAGAAAAAGACAAATGATTTAATAACTTGATAGGCACTAAGCTGATCTAAAGTATTAATATCCCTGCCTGTCCATGACCTGGCTTTCTAAATTATTTCCCTGCAATTTCCAACTGGGGTTGTCAGAGAATGTAAGTTTATCATGTGAATAAGGGTCAGTACACTTGGTGACCTTTGATAAAACCAGATTTTGCAAGATGAATAACTGAAGGCAATAATCTCTGCAATCTACATGTCAGGGTGCAGTCAATATTTGTGCATTAGCATTTAACAAAAAACCTGGATGATAGATTGCACAGACAGCTGGATCTTTATCTGCCTTAAAAATCGCAGTTATAGAAGCTTCACTGAAGAAGGCTGGGAAAACTTTATTTGAAACGGTATAATACTAGACCTTTAATAATAGTGGAGCAAAGAATTAAATAGGTTATTATGCCACTAAATGGGGTAACTACCTGGACCAGAGGCTTTTCTTGTTTTCATAGATTTAATGGTATAGTATCTATAATTTTGTTTAGAGAAATAAGGTGCAGCTAGATAACCCCTTGTTCATATGAACTCTTAGGAGGTGCTATATTCTGTAAAAATGATTAATTTGACTCGGTTCCGTGTGACTCAATATTATACAATCAAGAATAAGGTTTTTTAAAGTTGATTTATTGAGTCAGAATGGCTAAATACTTTATCCTCGATGTCTTTAATAGTAGAGATAATGGCTAGTAATTTACCAGGTCTTTCACCTCACTTGCTAAATCTTTGCTTTATATAACTATTCTGCTTCGAATTAAGTTCCTATTTAATATTCATAAAAGCATATAATTCTGATGTAGTTTGCCTTGCATATATGCTCAAAATTTTCTAACATTTTGCCCAAATTTTCTTGTTTAATTTTCTGATTTTTTTCCCCATGAAGCATAAGCAGTACCTCAAACAAGCAAGCCATTCACAGAATGTCTGTTTATAAGGGGGGGGAAAGCCTTCCAACTCTTTTTGCATCTATTTTAGAAAAAGATCCTTTATGAATAATATATTTAAATACCTTTTATAAAAATGGGATTATTCTTTCTTGTAGTAACTGATAATTTACTGATATATGCTGTATATACTGTACAGTATATATGTTAATGATCAGATATAGCAATAGTGCCTATAATATTTATTAATTCATCTACTAACAATCGAGATAGCAGAACAGAATCCAGTCAAGAACCCTTCTGATGTCGAACTGAACAAAAGGTGTGTTATTGTTGTGAAGGATTTAAAATACACCACATCCACCAAATTAAAACCCAACATAAAAGCTTGCAGTAATTTCCATGTACGAGAGTTAGATTCAGGTGGAGTGGTGTTCCAGCCTAATAAGGGATTTAGAACTTGATTGAAATCTTCAGTCATATTTATCTGATACACAGCTGAAGTTAAAAACAACTGTGTAACCTAAAAAAAAAAGTTCTCCCTCCCTCTCTCTCTCTCTCACACACACACACACATAAAACAACTATATAATCTATATGAAAAAATTCTTATAAGAGCCATAATACATTTATTAAAACCCTAATCACAGTATTAAAAAAAATCCTGGGAGTCTCTTATTTCTTGTTCCACCACAGATTCTGAGCACTTGTTAACCAAAATTAATATACCTCTATCAAAAAATCCTCTATCAGCTTTTGAAAGAAGATGTTCCATGTGCCAACTGTTGCTATTTTCTTGTCTTAGGTGATGAAGACTTACCACATGTATCACGCTGAGAGCATCAGTGCTGAAAGCAAGCTGAAGGAAGCTGAGAAGCAAGAAGAGAAGCAGTTCAACAAAGCAGGGGACATCAGTGTGAACCTATTGCGGCATGAAGATAGGCCTCAGCGCCGCAGCTCAGTTAAGAAGATTGAGAAGATGAAGGAAAAGGTGAGTGGTATGACATGTTTTTCATGTGGCTGGCCACTGGCAGATGAATAGAGGAATATATTCCCAGGATGATGTTTAATAACAAATATGTCTAGTTCTGATCTCACCCATTTCACTATTTAATCTTGGATGATGATGGCCTCCTATAGACACATGAGTAGGTTATCCTCTGTGATAATGAAATAGTAGTAAAGTGTGGTGTCCAGTGCATTATGGGCTATATTGCAGTGGTTGGGGAAGCATTCTGTGCATATATAATAAGTGTTCTACAAGCCAGTAGATGTAATTAGTCACATTATCACAGACAGTAATTGACCACAGACAGCAAAGTCTCTTCAACAGCCAATGTAGCATAGTGGTTAAAATGTTGGCTTAGGACTGGGGAAAGACAAATTCAAGTAACCCTTTGGCCATGGACATTTATTGGATGGCTTTGTGCTACTTTTTCTCTCTGTCAACCCAACTAATCTCATAGGGTTTGGGGGGGATAAAGTTAGAGTAGGAGGGCTGTGTGTGGATCATTTTATGCTCTTTGAGCATAAATCTGACTAATAATAACAACAAATATGATTGTTGGATTCAGGAATCTTGGCCTTAAAAGCTGTTTTGCTTCTGTTGGATTTTTTGATCTCTCTCTCTCTCTCTGAAGGTTTTCTCCCCAACAGGTTGCTCTTTTCAACTCTCCTTAACGGTTCAGCACATCAGGCCTTGATGAGGTAATGCACCCCTCTCTGTGGAAATGCTCCACAATTTGCCCCCAGGCTCTCCTTCCTGCTGAATGAGGCCTGCCTGATTCAAAGCTCTAGCTACCTGCTGCCTTTTTGGCACTTTTCCACAGCTAACAGGCAGTAAAGAGAGCAGCTAATATATAGCAGTCTCAAGATCTTAAGTGAAAATGTACAGAATAATTCAAGCAGGCAGGCAGCATTCCAGCAATCCAGATTTATTTTATTTATTTGTCTAATTTATATAGCTGCCCATCTCACAAAGCCAGTCATGGACGCCCATCTTACAAAGCCACCTTATTCAAAGTAACAGATGTTGTGCAGTTGACCATTTTTTAAAAAATCATGAGCCTTGGATTTAAGGGGCTTTCTCAGTCTGGGCACTCTCTTTCTCCATTAGCTAGATGGGAGGAATATTTCTGATTGTTGCGTAACTATAATATCCTTGCCTCCCCAACCAAAGAAATCAAAGGAATAGGGAAGCACCATATGTTAATGTGCACTTTCCCTCCCATGCTACCAACAACAGTTAACCTTGAGAGAGCCTTTGATTGTCTTTCAAGAGTGAAGAGCAGAAGAAAAATCTTGTGCTGGATTGTAGAGCATTCATGACCGTATGCTGTATTCTAAGTATGAATTAGAGTATTTTCTCAAAGTCATGGACTTGCAGCAAAGGCTGGGCTCCCCTTGGATCTTCAATCCCTACAGATGATGTGAGAGGTGGGATATTGAATACAATATTCTATTCAATATCTTCAAGCTTTAATTCCTTGAGATTATGATTAGAGACGGGCCTGCAGAAATACACTAATGTACATATTGTAGAAGGTGTCAAGAAGGTCCAAAATTAACAGTTGAGCTATTTCTTCATTGTAACCATAAAAGAAGTGGCTGGACATTTTAGTCAATAAAGGTGAATTTTGGATTTTTTTTGTTAGTTTATCAGTTGTCTTTGTGGCAGTGACATTCTAGACAAAATAATCTAGGGCTGACAGTTTACTTTGTCTAATAAATTATAGTTCACATTGTCCTGTTAATGCTTTCCTTTCTGAATCAGCTAAGTTAGCAATAAAGAAGAAATATCCATGGAAAATCTTGGTGTTATAGAAACTACTCTAAAGGATTACAGATATCTTCAGACAGAAAAACAAGCCAGGATTTTAAAATATCCTTGCTTAATATAAATAATTTGTATATGCAGTTTGTTTCCTTCCTCTCAATTTTGTTATTTACTTTACTGAGTTTATATGCTGCTGCTGCTGGAACTGATACTGATTCTGAGCAGCTTACATACCCAACATCTGTAAATAAGATTAAAGCAGAGTAACAGTTACACCCATACCAAAATAACAGCCTACACACATATCTTAATTAAAATGCCATTAAACAAACATCTTACTGCAAAAGGGAGCAGCCTCATAACACATGCTGTCCCAAGGTGGATTGATAAAGAAACCAGGATGAGTTGTTTAGTGTGCTGTCTGAACCAGTAATCCTTCCAGTACAGTTAGAGGACAGCTGGTTGGAGAAAACTGCCTTCAGGCCAATGTGTGAGAGTCCAGGTTGGGAATCTGAACTAAGTTTGCTCTGTGTCATGATCTGGATGTTCCTGTATAGCAATCTTCCTCAAGTTGGTGCCCACCAGATGGGTTAGAACTCCCAACTGGTTTGGGATTAGTGGAATTGAATTCCAATTTATCTGGAAGGCACCAGGTTGGAGAAGGCTACCCTGGAGTGAGTGACTGCTTATGGCAAATTCAGCAATCACAGTGAAAGGGTTATGTCTACAGGCAGAGCAGGTGATAATTTTTTCACAGCTGTCTGCTTAGTCTTCTATAAAGGGATATGGGAACTGTTGGTCAGATGGCTTTGCATACTCCCGAATGAGAATAAAATGAAGGATTATGTTTGTAAATGTTTCCCTGTCTTAAAATTTCCTGCAAGTACCCAAAAAACAAAAACTTAGCATTGCAGGAAGCAGATCGGATTACAGAAATGATATGCAATATTCTATTCTATTCTATTCTATTCTATTCTATTCTATTCTATTCTATTCTATTCTATTCTATTCTATTCTATTCCAAATGGAATCCTTTCTACCTGTGGTCTGAGAATGCAAATGTTCCCTCAGGAATCTATCAGTTTATGAGTCAGTTCTTAAAATACAGGCAAAGAGCTCTTTAATCACACCAGATAAGAGTCCAACAACAACAGGAACTATGGATTTATGTCTTTATGTCCTTGACTCCTTATCGTATTTGACTTCTGTTTTTTACTTACTTATGATGGTGGCCAAGGGGCATAAGAAGAGTGCTGGTTGCATTGGAAAGTGAAGACCTTTTATGTGTCTGTAGTTCATGGAGGGCTGATTTAATGAGCAAAGCCAGTGTTTCTGACACTTCGGCTATTGATCAAATGAAAATAAGGCTCTCATCAAACAAGCAGTTGCCATGCAGTGGTAGACCATATGCCCTGCCAACAAATTATCCCAATAGATCACCTTTGTCTGTACAAATGTCATTCTGGACAGAAATATTGAGACTGGATATTTGAAATATTTGTTTTTCTTCTTAAAGTCAAGTATGTTACATATAAATGTTAAGTATTGAAAGAAACTCTTGTATATGCTGATTCCAACTTTTAGTAAAGAATTTTCTATTGCATGATAAAGATAATAGTATGTTTCTGATAAAAATCAAAATGTCTATGTAGTCAGTATCATTTTAAATGAAACAGTATCCTTCTTACATTGGATTGTATATCATTTATTCAAATATCCCATGTAAGAATGGCATTGAAACTAGTTAATTCCTCAATAATAGAAGGTCTAGTAATATGCCCTTCCCCCCAACTCTGTGTGTTTGTGTGTGTGTGTCTGTGTGTGTGCGTGCACACATGCCTTCAAGTCAGTTTTTGACTCTTGGCAACTGCCTGGACTAGTCCCTGCAGTTTTCTTGGCAAGTTATTTTGGTAGTGGTTTGCCCTTGCCTCCTTCCTAGGGCTGAGAGAGAGTGACTGGCCCAAGATCACCCAGCTCACTTTGTGCCTAAAGTAGGGTTAGAACTCATGGTCTTCCAGTTTCTAGCTTGATGACTTAATCACTACACCAAACTGCCTCTGACTATCATTCCTTTAATTGAATTTATCCTTGCTGGCAATAACTTTTGATTTAATGAGGAGCATTATGGTATCATTATATGCTAACTAATTTATGAGAAGACTAGAATGTGTTCTTTTTGGAAGAGCCACTGATAATGATTTAGTGGCATCACACAGATGGCATCTTATGTTTGGACTTACAATACAAACAATCTGTATAAATGTATATATTGCAGCAACTTCTTTTATCCAGTTATCAACTTTGCATCTAATAGCACCACTGATAGTTCCCAAATACCATTTTTGGATGTAATTTCATGATGGCAAAAAAGGAAAAAAGTGTTAGGGCATTATTTAAAGACCTATATATATCGACAGTTACCTAAACTAGAACTTCTGCTATGTTAACTATATTAAGTAAAGCATGATGTACAGCTTAACACTGAGAATTAAATGTATTTATATTAACATGGATACTTTTCTTAAGAGGAGTAAAGACATTTACAAAAAAGGGAATGTGGGCCTAGCCCTTCTCAAACAACTGGATTTTAACCTTCCAGAAGCCATATGAGGCCATATATCTAAGTTAAAGAAATATAGTGATTGGCAGAATTTATTATCTGAGACAGAAGGTAAGTTGGAGATCTTATAAAACATCATTCACATCAGTGATTGCAAACATCCTGGATATAAAACGATCATTGACCTATGTACTCATTTCAGAAATAATGCGCTATAATAATTCAAAAATTAAAATAGCTAGTTCTACAACTTTTTAATAGTGAGAATCACTATCTCTTGGATGTTAATCTCATAGCTATAGAAATAAAATCACATCCTGACCAACTGGATCCAAGGAAAGTGGAGATTTAAAAGCTCAATAGATCGATGCTACATAGCTTTTATTGGGAGGATTTCTTATTTCTTAGCAGAACTAGCATTCCATAATTGCTGCTGTTGCAACTCACATTTTTACATCTTACTGTCTCAGCAGGAATGTATGAATAGTCCCCAGTTTAAAAATGAGTTCCGTTCCCAAGGTGTGTCCTTAAGTCGAATTTGTATGTAAGCTGAAACAGTATTATTGTATAATACTGTATAACTAGTATTGTGCAATTAACTCGAAT